TCTCCTGGGAGGAAGGATTCTCAGGGAAATCTGGAACAGGCTGAGAAGAAGAAAGAGAGATCAAGAAGCAGTAAGGTGAGGCTCTTTCACATTGGGGGTATGTTCCGGGCTGTTCTGTGAGAACCAGAGAGAGGGGCCCGAAGGGAAAAGTGTGGCCCCCAAGGAGGGGGGATTTTGAAAGAATTTTCCAACCTGATAAAAAACTTTCTCGTGGGAATGTCTTCGCCACAGATGTTTTCCCAAAAGAGGCTTTCTCTTATTTTTTCCCAGATAACTGGATTTTTAAAAAATTAATAAAAACAACTCCTAACAACTAGATAATACATAGCCTTGATCCTTGACTTGAAACCTCAGGTCAGTAAGTTTTACTGAGCACATGCTGGGGGTGACATATTTTATTTTGTATTTTGAGAGAACCAGAAGAATAACTTGTGCCTTATCCTGAGAAGGCATAAGGCCAAGATGAAAGGGAAGACACATTCTAAAGGAATTATGAATATTAGTTACTGTGCAGCCGGCATTGTTCTCCATGCTTTTGATATAGTAATTTGTTCTAGTTGCCATGGCTACCCTGCAAAAGTCATGGTTTTCATTTAATGGGGGAGGAAGCTAAAGTTGGACAGCTTTATAGGACATGTTTGATGCCGCATAGCTATAAACAAATAGTAAATTGAATCAGCAGGAGCTGAACTGTTTGCCTTAACATTGCAGAGCAAGCCTGTCCGGGAGTTTGAGCTGTAATTAGTTGAAGTTCCCTGAGTTCCACTTGCTGATTCAAAGAGAGCAATCAACTTGAAGTCAACCTTTGTTTTCTACAGAGCCTTGAAAATATCCATTAAGAATTTTTGTGAAGTCAAATGAAGCACTGTTTGTGCAGTGTCTTAAAGGGGTGCTCTGGCCAGAACCAGGGTAAACACACAGTTCTAGTTGGCCTTGCAAAGTTTCCATACGAACGTTTTTTTGTTGTTGGTTATTTTTGTTGTTGCTGTTTTGTTTTGTTTTTACTTTTTTTTTTTTTATCTTTTTCACTTTTCTTTTTCTAACACTGAGGTTGTGCCAGCACGTTACCTCTGAGCCTACCGGCCCCCAGACTCTGTTTCACTTTCAGTTTGAAGCAAGATGCCCATGAATTGTTCGGGTGGACCTTGAACTTGTGTTCCTCCTGCCTCAGCCTCAGCCTCTAGGCTAATGGCCTGAAGTTCATTCTTTTTATGTCTAAAATGTGTACTTCACTTTAGCATATCAGACACAAAGTTTATAAACTTTGAATTGTTGACTCAAGGAATATTAACTTATTTGCATAAATTTTCTAAATCATTGTGAAAGAGCCTCTTAAGATAATTTATAAGATAATTTGAAGCAGCTTATATGAGTTTCAGAGACCAGCAGAGCTGACTCCTGTTAACCTGCTCCTTCAAAGAAAAAGCTCATGGTCTCTCCTCGGAGCTTCCTTTCCCCTACTGTGTGATTTCTTCTCAGATCCTGGGACAGCATAACTGTCCCCTGCCCCCGCCCCCAAACATTTGCAATGTTTCACTCTGGCTCTTTTTTGGGCAGCTAATGAAATTTCACTCCTTCCTATTTCACTCCTTAAAGCCAGTCTGTTTTAGAGCATCCACTGGGACAGTCCGTGAGCCATCTGAGACACGAGGTGACTTCATTTCCTCAGGCTCCCAGAAAAGAACCACATGCTGAGTGGTCTGGAGGGAAAATAAATAGATAGATAGATAGATAGATAGATAGATAGATAGATAGATAGATAGATA